AAATTCTAATTAAATGTCAAATTAGAGTCAAACTATAATTTCAATAATATATGGGGTGAATAATAATTAAAATTAAAATTAAAAATAAAATTAAAATCCAACTCTAATTTAAATTGAATTAACCTTTTAATTTAGGATAAAACTCATAAATAATTAAAATTCAATTTAAGTTTAATATTTAAGTTAAAATCCAATTTTAACTATAATATAAACGACGTCTTTTTTAAATGGGTCAAGATTAAAATTTAGATCAAATCTAATTTCTAGTTAAAATTGAATTTAAGGTCAAACATTTTTAGATCCAATTTAAAACCATTTTCAAAACAATTTTAAGTCCCTAATCAAAATTGCCATCAAATCCTTTTGAAAATTGCACTATAACCTTAAAACAATTAAAGCGAACTAAAAAAAAAAAAAAAAAGGAGAGTTGCAAAATTCTACCATGATTGAGAAAAAGGGGTGAATAATGCTTTGGATCTTGTGACCAATTTTCATCCTTTACGTAAAATGCATGGTAGGTGCGGTGCGCCACTTTCCGCAACCTCTACGTATCACTTGTAGCCTTCTCTAATAAGCATTTCTTTTTGATCATCCAAACGTGAATAAGAAGCTGCTTCATCAAGAATTTAACAAAATGGGCTTTAATTTTATTACCTTTTATTTAATATTGCAATTGGTTGGTCCAAAATCCTATCATATCTTCATTTTCTGGCTTGATTAGTAGTTTTAAATTGGCCATATTAGCCTAAAGCCTTAATATACTCTATAAAGTTTGGTCCACTTTACATCACTGGCCTACTACTTGTGATGTTTGTGAGAATTCAGTACCCTCCACCACCGACCATGGTACGAAAATATAGAGCCCACACGCGCCCAGGGCACATCTCCAAGTGGTAAAAGGAAAAGGTGGAGAAGTCCAGCTTTGCTTGAGGCTGTTACGTCAAGGGTTCAAATCTTGAAATATGAATTTGACTTTTGGATAAGTGCAAGTGTACAAGCAGCCTTCTACCCTATACCCTTGGAGGCATAACCTGCGATTTACCTCCCTCACGATACTCCAGACCAAGAGTGATGGGGGACCCTTAAGGTTAGAGTTTAACCTTTTTTTAAAATATAGAGCCCACACCACTCGTGGCTCGGGTTACTCCACAAACTTCAATAACATTCTTTTTTTTTTCTTTGGGGGCAGATTCTGATGTTTGAGCTTTTTGAGATTTTGGATTTGAAAAAATAAACTCATAAAGGGAAAGTAGTTAAAGCTTATAGGAGAGAATGAAGTCTCACGTTTAAAATTCAAATTTGTTGATTGGTTCATGAATGCCAAGAAAGAAAGCAATTTTGAGAAACTTCTCAAAACTGTTTACTATAATCAAATTGAATTATATACCATAAGGTTTGTAACTCATAATTTTAAGTTGTTTAAAAAAAATAAAATTGAATAACAATTAAACTCTAAATAACGACTAACTCTAGATAACAATGATAATGAAAATTAAAATTCCTAATTTATTCGTAATATAAATTTCAAATTTATTAAATATAAAATTAATTCGAAAATAGATAAACACGTTTTCATAGCCCTAATCGATAGAATCTGACCAAAAAATATCGAACATGCTTAATGGGACGTTTTCAATCCAAATGACACTCCGAAAAAATTATGTATTCCAACGTCAATCCCAATTCTTCATAAAATCTTCGCAATCAAATGTCCCTCATCCCTGACTGTAATACCATCATTACTTGAGCCCATGTCTCAACAAACATTGAAAGGATTAAAAATGCAAGAACTGGTCGGGTGTAATATTACTCCATTGTCTGGTTATAGATTGTTGTCATCGAAAGTATTGAGACAACTTCTTATTCAGAGATTGTGGGCGATCTTCCCATATCCCACGCGTTCAGTTTTCCAAAATGTACTTAAATACTTTTTTTCATTTGGTCAAAAAATTGTGCTACATGAACCATATGTATAATAAGAGAACAAGTGAAATTGAAAAGGCAGATTTCTTCCTTTATTAATGTTGCATTATAGTTATTCAAAATTCAATATTTATTTTAAGGTAAATTATAAATATGGGAAATTTTTTGTCGAAAATTATTTGAGCTTTTAAATACGACCACTTTAAAATAATATGATTCAAGCGAAAAATTCACCCCATTATACCTTTGATAAAACAAAAAATCAACTTATTGTAAGAAAAGGGAAAAAGCCCTTATTATAATTCATCAAAACAAATGTGCATCTCCTTCATGTAAAAATTAAGTAATCCAACATTCCAAATAATAGTTCCGAACCAGTCGTACATACTTTACATCTTGAGAAAGACGAGAGTAAAAACATATTAATGTGTCTAATTTTTGTTTTCTAACTTATGATTTTCCTCTTATTTTGAAAAAGGAGTTTGGAAAATTTTCTTATACTAATCAATGACATAATCCTGAAGTATGTGAATACAAATAGATCCATAATCGTCTTTCTCTTTTGGTACGTATTGTCCAATAATTTTACTTTCAAGATGTCTATCTAAGACATGGGTAGCATGTATATATTAAAATTATCTTCAATATTTTTATGCTTGTTTTCATAATGGCCAAAAATTCTCTATAACGTCAATAATTGATTGTGTGAATCCAAACAAATGTATATTGTTTATTTGTTACCCAAATCAGCATACGAAAATACCACAATTAAACGCATCTATTCTTCAACCTCATTAGTTACTATGACCAAACATGCCTTTGAAGCATGATAAAATACTATATTAAACCCATGTTTGCCCCTCGTAGGGTGGTCGAGTTGGTGGAGTAGGTGAGCATGGAGACTTTTGGTCACGAGTTGGATTCCTCTTACCAACGCTTTTTCTATCGAGCCAGTCGCACAAAGCTTGTCTAGTGCGGTTTACCTGACTGTCGTAGTTTGTAGACTATTGCGTCAACTTGAGAGTTTACCTAGTGTACGCCCGAAAGGTAACGACAACGGATTCCCCTATCATAAAAAAATAATAATAATAATTAAGCCCATGTTTGGTTCATATAAAAATCAAACGTTTAGTATATCTCGATAAAATTTATGAGTCTCACAAAAAATGTGGCTGAAAATCAATTTGAGGAAAAACGAATTTTAAAATATAGGAGTTAGATAACGTTTGACACGGTCAATTCTCCTCATTACGTTTGAAAAGTTCTTAACCAATTGACTCAATCAAACTTTAATTAGTACAGAATAAATGTGTTCCAACTCATTATGAGTAGTAATGATTTTGCCGTCTTGATTTGGTTTTTGGGGTTAGAATTGCATGTGTATGAGGCTGAAATATAAGCCGGCACCGACTACTTTAAAAATGCAGCAGCTGGCACAGAGCGTCGGCAGTTGCACGAGTGGACTAAAAGAATGCCTCCTTAATAGATATTCAGTCGCCCAATCCGACAGGATTTTATTCTTCCTCCTTTATGTTTCTTGTAACAGCTCTCTTAAAGTTACCTGTTAAGATATTTGATTTATCTAAAAAAGCTGGTCAAGGTCGATAATTAAATTTGACCATATATTCACAATCCGCAATTTTTATTTCATCGACTTTTATTAAAATGTATTAAAATCTGATTTTTAACTCAACCAAACAAGGACTTACTAATGAGAATGAAGCAAGGAATCAGACAAGTCTGTTGGATTATAACCAACCACAACTTAGATTTCGAGCTCAAAGGGACGTGTATGAGCAGATTCTCTTACGTTAGGAAAAATGAAGAAATTAGTGCTATAAAAATGTTAAGATTATAACTGCTCAAGTTTAGGTTAGATTCGGGGTTGAAAGGAGCGTATATATGGGCAAGTAGAATCTTGGGAAGTTTCCTCTAATATATAATAATTTAATTGAAACGTTGTGTGACTCAAATCAATTAATCTTGTCGGACAGGGTCTGACACCCTGTTGACAAGGTTTTAAATTATCCTACCGGTCAAAGGCAGTTCTTTGAAGGAAAAAACAGGAGCAATCATTTTTTGCTTGCCCCTTTTTTTTTCACATTACCATGTAAAATTTGGACCTGTCCTTGTGGCAGGACTGGACTCAAATTAACAACTTCAAATTTTAACTAGAAAAAGCACATTTCTCTGTCAATAACACATACGATATAATTCATCAAAGCATTGATTTCCTTGAATTATTATTACTTTAATTTTTATACATATTTGGTGCCATGAAGACAATAATATTATTATTTTTCAAATTTTACACATATTTGGTGTAATAAATTGAAGACATGAACCTAGTCATGATTACTTAAATATTGCATTCCGAATTATATATTTTGAATTTCAAATTTTAAAATAATCCTTGTTTTATGTTACCCTAAAATGGATTCCACTTTCATTTATATATTGATATTATTATTAGCCATAACTCAAATTAAGTAGGCAGCGTGCAATTGGTTATGCATCAAAGACAAAAAATAAAAAATAAATGACAGCTTTAGCTTGGTTTTATTATTTGGATTTGTTTCCCTTACATAGCCAATGACCGCTATCGCATTTGAAAAAAAAAATCGAAATATTTTCTTGTTATATGAGGGCCTGTTTTTATACGTTACTGGAGAGGAACGTAACAAGAATTTAATTTACCTTTTCCCTTCCGCTCAGACTTACCGCGTACGAATTGCAATAGAATTGGCATCAATGGAGGCTTTTATTTTTTATTTTTTGAAATGAGACATTTGTCAAGCAAATAGATGATCCTTTAGAATAAAAATCTGGATATGATCCAAACAGGTCCTACGCCTTTGGTATTAAAGAAAGTTTACGAAAAAAAAGAAGAAGAAAAAATTGTTCAAAGTACAGTAATTTTATAACTCAATTGATAAGACCTCCACTAATGAAAGGAAAAAAAAAGTAGTATTTTTCTTGTCCCATTTGAAATTTGTTTGACAGGGCCAAAAGAAATAAAGTTGATTTCTTGGCTTCCACTCCATCAGCCCAAAGATTGTATAAATACAATCACATATGCGGTAGACCTATCACATTGAACGCTTCATTTTCAAGCTATATATTTGTGCACATTTATTGATTTTTTCCTCACTGTACTTTTCTTAAGATATGGGAAATTTCCCTTTTCGTTTGTTTTTGAGACTTCCCTTCATGTCCTATTACTATTAGTTTGAATGCGGTTCAATTCTCATTGGACTGTGTAAAGAATAATTATATTTTCGCTTATCTCGACCATGAATGCGAGTTTCTGATTTATTTTGCTTATTATTCTCCCGTAGGAAGGCCCTCGGGTTATCTTGAGATAGAAAGGGACAATGGCAGAAACTGCAAAATATACAGCGGAGAATGAAATGGGATGTGGTCTAATGGGAGCATTTTTCCACCTAAAGAGCTTGAGACCAAGAAAATCTGTCATGTTTCAAAGTACTCCAACTTCCAGGAAGCAACTTAAGAATTCCAGTGAAATCGGACGTCTGGAATTCTTAAAATCGGATAAGAATCCGTCCAAAATCATCGAAAAGTCATTGGAAAAGCCTGTTTCTGCTAGGAGAAAGCGTTCAACTTCTCGTGATCATCAAGGTACCGGGATATCAGATGCAACGAAAAGTTCAACGTCATCCTCGAACAATTCGAACTCTAATGGGGCGCCTCAACTTGTGAATTCGTCCAACACGGAAAGGCACACCAAGGGAACTTCCTTCAACTCGAGTGATCTCAACCTGACTGTTGCTGATCAAAGTAAATCCGACTCAAATGGAACAACGTATCGAGCTTCTGCGGGTAATGTGATGCTTTTAGGCCATTTGGGTAACTTGAAGCAGCAGGGGAAGCAAAGTGCATCAAATAGATTGGAGGTTCAGGAGAAAATGATGAAGAAATCCAATGAAATGACCCCTCGATTTGGAAACATATTACGTAGTTTATCAAAAAGATTGGATCCGGATGTTTTGAAATCCTTAGGGAATGAGAAGTATAAGCAAGCAAAGTACGAGGAGGCATTGGCATTATACGACCAAGCAATCGCTATTGATCCGAGCAAGGCTTGCTACTATAGCAACAAAAGTGCAGCCTTGATGGTTTTAGGCCGCCTCATAGATGCAGTTTTTGAATGTAAAGAGGCTATCCAGATAGATCCTCTGTACTTTAATGCTCACTGTCGTCTAGGAAAATTGTATTTAAGGTAATATATATTTACCGTCTGACAAGGAAAAAAAGTTAAAATCTTGTTTATTGCAATGTCACTTGGATTTAGCCTTTTCTTAAGGGATTTTTTCACGACTTCTCTCATAGATTGGGTGAACCCGAGAAAGCATTGTGTCACTACAAGTGCTCCGGGCGCAAGGCTGGTAATGAAGATATCGTTCAAGCTCAAGCTCTCAAGACGTGCCTTGACAGGTGTACTGAAGCTCGGAATCTAGGAGATTGGAAAAAATTGCTGAATGAGTCTCAGATTGCACTATCCTCAGGAGCAGATTCTGCTCCACTGGTTAGTACTTCACACTGTTAGTCTTATGCCATAATATGTCCATGAAAAAATGCTAAATATTTCTTTAACCGTTTTCCTACAGATCTATGCAATGAAAGTTGAGGCACTGATGAAACTTCGTAGGCACCAAGAGGCATATAAGGCTATCAAGACGAGCCCAAATTTCAGCATTCCACTCTGCACTCAGTTTTTCGGATCCTCTGCCACTGCTGCACTATTAATCATTCGATCCCTGGTTTACCTGGCCATCGGCAGGTCACTTGAAATTTTTGTAGAATGTTGGTCACGTACAATTTCCTCTAGAGTTGAATCTGACATCGAGGATGCGCGTCTATTTTTAAATGTTGACAGGTTTGAGGATGCTGTGGCTGCTGCTCAGAATGCTGTAGGACTTGATGCAAGACGTGAATCAAGTTTGATAGCAAAAAGGGTTAAATTTGTGGCATTGGCTCGATCAAATGGTAACCAGCATTTTAAAGAATCCAGGTTTTCGGAGGCTTTTACTGCATATACAGAAGGACTAGAACATGATCCTTATAACTCGATTCTGCTCTGCAATCGAGCTGCTTGTCGATTCAAATTAGGCCAGCATGAGAAAGCAGTAGAAGATTGCACAGCAGCTCTTAATGTGCATCCCTCGTACATCAAGGCCAGATTGCGCAGGGCAAAATGCAACTCTAAGGTATCTCTCCCTCTCGAAAAGATGATATTTTTGCTTCGATTCGTATTTCTGCTTCAGTTGCCTTTTTCGTCTCATTTTTCACCTGAACTACCCGAATTATTTGAATTATTTTTTCGCCCCCAAGCCCGGTAATCCACGACCTGTAAGAGGCCTGTCCACTTTGACACCGCTACTTTCCTTCTTCATTTTCCCAATGGGAAAAATGAGGTAATGCTTGATCAACAACCGTGTATGAGCTTATTTATCAGAGTCATTGATAATTTATCTGTTTCTGATTCATGTAAATCAGTTGGAAAGATGGGATGCTGCAATTCAAGATTACGAGGTGTTGATGCAAGAAATTCCTGGAGATGAGGAAGTAACCAACTCACTGCTGGAGGCAAAGATGCAACTCAAGAAGCAGCATTTTGGTGATCATAAGGAAAGAAGACTAAAATCGAACAC